TCTTCTAAGGTACAACTGGCTCATGTATATGTATACATATATATATATATATATATATATGATTTAAGAATTTATTAATTTCTTTGAGAGTTTTGTAACAAAACAGTATCTAAGATGTTAGAAAAATTTTAGGAGGTAAATTTTTCATCAGGATGGTATCCCCCCCTGGTGAAATGTAATTTTTAGCCAGTACTTAAATCTTTTTGGTCTGGTTGTATACACATGATAGACTCTCCATTATTGGATTAGTAATCCCACAAATACTGCAGAAAAAAAGAACCATTTTAAGATTTAGTTTCTTGACTTAATTCAGAAACATATTGCTTTATTGCTTAGACATTCAGGAGAAACCTGTTTTGCAGTTTATCTTGATAAACAAAGACTATCTAAAGCAAAACCAAAAACCAAACCCACTGCCATCGAGCCGATTCTGACTCACAGCGACCGTGTAAATGGTCTCAGTGCTATGTGATTTGAGTTTAGATCTCAAAGCCAGCTACATCTCGGCTTACATCTGTTGTAAGCTGTGTATGTGGCTACTTTCTCAGCTGGAAAAGACAATATGAACACCTATAAAAGAAATTTTTGTGTCAATTAATTCAACAAACCTTTATTAAACATCTGTACTAGGCAGAGATTCAAAGATGAATAAAACGCACCCTTTGCTTTCAAGGAACTGTCAGGTTAGTACAGGATTTGGAAAATCACCTTTTATAAAGATCTTCTCAGAAGACCGTTTACTAAACTGTTAGAAACAAAAACATTAGCTATCTGTTGCATAAATCCATTCATGGTAGCATTTTGGAATAGGCTCCCATTTTAAGTCAGTATGTTCTCAACTACATTTCTCTTTTTTTGCTACAGTTGGTCTTATAGTTTTGTCTTTCTGGCCTGGAGTTATCTCCTGCTCTTCTTTCTCAAGAATACCTAGAGCATAACCAGTCTTACCTGCTTTTTTCATTCCCTCTTCCAGTAGTAATATCTGGCTTTATGACCCTTGCATTTTCTTTCTTTCTTTTTTTTTTTTAAGTTTCCAGCAGTATATATTGGCAGGATCTTCGCTGGGAATTATTAGGTTTTCTTCCTATAGAAGTTCAGTTTCTTCTCTGAACCTTATACATAGTATAACTTTTAATTTACTAGAAGCCAAATTGAAGTACTTCATGTTATTATCTTGGCCTAGAATGCAGGATGAGTTGGTGAGAGAGCTAGCATTCACTCCGGGTTCACAAGCTCCCCATACATGAGTGTAGCCATGTGTATATATAGACATAATTGCATATAGCATGGACATTGGAAAATGAGGAAAGTAGACAGTATACATAAGCATTAATAGGTGTGACACTTCCATTAGCAATGGCAAGCTGCCATATCAATGACGTAACAAATACAAACTTGCTCTCAGGATTCATGAAAGACTTTCAGGGGGCCTCTAATTAATTGGTCTGAGGTAGAGCATGGGAATTGTGTTTTTGTTATTTTTATCCAAGATATACAATTGATTGTAATTAGAAACCAAGTTTAAAGATCATTGTTAAGACTTTTATAGGGGTATGCAGTTTGAAACATCTCTTAATTCTTTCAAACTCCCCCCCCCAGGATTTCAAAGAACTGTGGCTATTGCAGACTCAAATTACAACTGGTTTTATGGTCCAGAAAGCCAGTTAGTGTTCCTGGATAAATTCGTCATGCGTAACGGCAGTGGTAACTGGCTGGCCGATCAAATCAGAAGGAACCGTGTGATGGAAGGTCCAGGGACCCCATCCAAAGGGCAGCGCTGGTGCACTCTTCACACAGAATTTCTCTGGTAGGACACGTTGAGCTTTAAAGAGAAATGGTACCCAGTGATATGATTCATGTCATGTGCTACTTTCTTGAATTTAAAATGAAAAATTAATCTGAAACACCTTTAACCCTTTCTCCATGCCACCCAAGTACACGAAGCTTCAGTTCTATTTATATCACAGTGTTTGAAGCTCTATTAGAAAGGTTTCCTTATGTTTAAGATCTAATTACTGTTTGTACTTTTTGATTATTTTGTATTAGAGATGTCCCAGACTCACACAATTTCAAAATATAAGTTTTGATTTATATCAGTTTTGAAATCATATAAAGAGAAAATCACAAAAGATAGACTGGGTTATTCTGGTTATTACACCCCCCCAAAAAGTAGTAAAATTCTTTGGTAAATGGAACATTATAATCTTCCAATAACAAAACTGTTACTAAATTTTCAAAAATGTTTGACAACATTTGACAGCTTTATTTTAATGATAAAAGAACTGTGTAATTTTTTTTTTTTTTTTTGCCTTATTCTTTTAAGCCAAGAAGGAGAAGCCTGGGTCTCCTTTTTTTAAGTGCCAGATATATTGTTGGC